ATTCCAGAATACTCTAGATAAGAGAGAAAACTGCTCAGTAATATAATAGTAATATTATTGCTGATATTATTCAAGTACTGGTTAGTAAAATTATATGAATAATTGTGAGTAGAAACAAGAAATGTATTCTGTGTGCTACAGAATTAAGCCCTAGGAAAGGAGTGCTCAGCACTCTAGTAGCCAAAGTGTTTCCAACATTAAGGACATCAATAGCTAAAGCTATGGCAGAAAGTAGGACTCTGTTATCAGGGAAAATCAATATGAAATTTGCCACAGTATTACATTTGGATTATATTTTGGGGAGGTGGAGAAGATTATGCAGCGTGGTCTCATCACTTTGCCCTAATTCGCGATCATAGTTTCACAGTTCTTTTATGGTCTATTTGATGGGGAGGACAGGAGATGGGAGCCCAAGAGAACAGGGGATGGGAGGTGTATGGGAGGCAGGAGTGGAAAGGGTGGGAGGTGGGAGTTCTAAAAGAGTGGGAGTGGGAGAAATAGTGGAAATAAGCAACACTGCTTCAAATATTTCACCACTAAAAAGGCTATAAAACAAAGGAAGCCAAGAAAAAAGAGGGAGGAGCTGGGAATGCAAGGCACAGGAGGTGGGAGGTTTGCACCACTCCTGTTTCCCCTAATTTTGTTATTTAAACAGCAGGATTTATTAGTCATTAATAATTATTTATACACAGTAGCTTGGGGGAGGGGGGTTTTACTTGAAGGCCATTCTACAATTATACATTGTCTTTGTCAGAAAGGTGTTTGGAAGGGATAAATTGACTGCTTAGGACAGTAGGAATTTGGTATGAGTTGTTTACTTACTCCAGTGAGTCATCACCAACCATGTCTGCAAGTTCTAAAAACACATCTTTGTCTGCCCTTACTGCCTGAGATTCACTTCCCCTGCAAGAGTGTAATTTACAAATCACAATAAATCAGAATAATGTAATCCACCTCCATCCCATGCTAAAATAGCCTACTTACTCATTAACCACTTGATAAGCAGCAGTGACCAGCAGAGACACTAGGTACTGACTGGGTTTGGATGATGAATTCCGCCAGGCAACAGTGTTACTCCATGCCTTCACAATACGGATTAGATCCTTGCACTGAGGAAAATTATACACATCAACATCAAGTGTTAAGTTTTAACCTTGTTCTCAGGATAAGGACTATTATAAAATGAATGAAATGGATAACTATAAGGAGGAAATTGTGGACATAAGGGCACTTTGTTAAATTAACTTGTAATCCAGATTAACAATTTACAACACAATGAACAGCGAGTATTTCAATTTTTTTAAGAGCCTAGAATAAATTAATGTAAAATCCAATGTCATCCTTATACATGATATTTTTATGAGTTGTAAGGTGAGTTTTGCCAAAATGTATTCATTGGAATTGCATTACATTCCAAACCTGTCATTGTTGTTGATAAACGTCATTTAACATATTTGTATCTTAAGAGTTGCAAGCTATCAAAGTGAATGTTTAGTTTTTTTTGGTACTTAAAAAAGGAAAGGCATCAATTCAAAATTTGTGCATTGAAAGGTCAAATAAGTAGACGATATAAACTACCTTGGAATCCTGCATGTAAATAAACTCTGTCTGCCTCTCACAAACTGAAATATTGTAGCTGAAAGGAAAGAACACTTTCTGTTCTGATTCATTGCAGCATTCATTTCAAAGGGCGATTTTCTTTTATTCAAGAAACGTATTCAAAGTTAGTGAAATATGTCGCAATCTGTATAGATAACTGATATAGTTGGTGTGAGCTTATCAGTTAAGGTAAGAAATAAGAAGTCACGTCTCTTTGATTTTGTGTCTTCTAGTAAGAAAGAATTAGTTCAGTCCAATATAAAACTTGAATTTGTGGTTAAATCTTTTGTGGACTGTTGGTGCCGTAATGTTCTTAGTAAAGAGGTTTAGTCTTTAAACAATTTGTCCATGTGGCGGGGATTTCATTCGTGAGGGAAAAGTGTCCTCTGCTTTACACTGAGGAATTTAAGCAGTCCAACTAAAGGGCACAAGAGGGTGAGGGCTAAGTGACTGCATTTTAGAGGTGTCTATTACAGAGTAAAGAACTGTATGAACTTTCGTATCTTTGAGACCCGGGGAACCTTCTGTAGTAAAGAGGTGTCTGACTTATGTAGACATATGTCCGCAAAGTGAAGTTTAGCTGAATCATGCAATCATGATTATGATATTGTTTTATCGTGGCTTGAAATGTTAGATGGAGTATGAAATGGTCGTGGAAGAACCCAAGTTCATCGAAATAAACTTACAACAACTGTGCATCTGCCGGCTGACCCAGACTCTGTTTGTACAAAGCTGTAAAACTTCCCATTGGTTCCCAGTCGTTAAGTGGTATGACCACTACATTAACACTGTCACATTTAAACAGCACTGCTGTTTGGGTTGTCATGAAGTCTGAACATGGAGGCAGTTTACTCGTGGCAGACTGCTCCTCATCTGTCTGGTCTGCTGTTTTGCTGCCTTCTTGCTTAAGCAAAGTTTTGATAGTAAATACTATAGCAGGTAGCCAGCTCTTGTGTTCGGTTCTAGGAAGGTCTGGAAAATTAAAAAAAAAATACTTTTCACGCAAAAAGGTCCATTGGGGTCAAGTTACTGTACAATATTCTGGTGTAAGCGACCTACACAGCTGGCATCTGACGTGAATGTAAAGCAATAAGGCATTAAGGATCATTCGCTTGTCAGTGGCTTTTCTTCTTACTACAAGGTCATTCCAAATGCACGCACGTGTTATAGCGGAGGGCCGGGACTCCATCTTTTCTTGACGTATCGGAATTCAATCGTGTTTTGATTACACGCGTTTTCCCGCCGCGTTTAGCGCCGGTTACATATATTTGGTTCAAGTTTTGATCGGTTCCCTATTGTGTTGTCTGCATCTGTTGTGATTGGCTGTAAACTCTCGTGCTTAATCCTGCACCGCAAGCAGAGGTTTCTCTCTTGCAAGCATGACTTTTAGCGTCTGCGAAGTCATTCGCGTACCTTGTCTGTCGCGTAGTCAAGCTCTGCTTGCAGGGTAGCTCATCTTTCCTGACCAATCGGAATTAAAAACCTAAATCAATCGTCTCTTGATTTGAGACGTTTTCTCGCACTTAGCTGCGGTACATTCATGTGGGTGAAATTCTTATTAGTTCCCTTTTGAATTGTCTGCATCTGTTGTGATTGGTCTTAAGTCACTGCTTTGGTTTTGGTTTAATGACACTGCTTTAACAAACCGCTGGTAATCCATTTTTACACCTGGGCTCAGTTGTTCAAAAGTTGGATAATGATATCGTTGTACGCTGAATGTAAGAGTTAATTGTGAGTGGTTGTTTGCATTATCCCATCAGTGGATAGTAATTGAACTACTGTACCGGATAGTAGTGGGGTCGTGGTGAAGAGAAAAAACATGGAGTCATGTTTAAGAAAGCTGTACGTGGCTGTGGAGACTTCAAGCCCAACCGTCCCTTGGATCAGTCAGACAGGACTTTCATCCTGCTAAGTATTAGTTCAGAGAGCCTCCGCCTCACCAATACAACACGTTCTTAAGGTCCTACCCCTGAGGAATTCTCTAAGTATTTCAATTAACACCGTACTGTTTTTTAAGGCTTATTACAGTTTTTATGAGTACGGACGGGCGCACACACAGGCCAATGTTTTCAAGCTAGATTTGGCAAATGCCCTGTGCGCGCGGAAGCTCGGCTTTTGAACACTACGGACAGGGATACTTCATTTTAGAAACAATAAAAATTGCTTTTTTAAAAGAAAAAAAAAGCAGATCACTGCAATGACACAGCTGACCCTTGAACCAGCTGTGAGTGTGCTGCTATTACTTTAAATAAATCCAACTTATGTACAACGCTATTGAAGGGATGATTACAACAATACTTTATTCCGTCGTAAATTATAGAGTGTGATAATGAGACCAACATAAATCGCAAAGAAGGAAAGTGCGCTTGCTTGGCTCCACTGAGTTGCTTGATGTTCAGTAGGCAAGAATAACATTGGTCTTGAAGGTCGATAAAAGCGCAAATCTCATTGATGTGGTTGAGTAAGAAGTGGTTAGTCTGTCAGTGTTATACTCTGTCGGTGGGGAGTGAAACACAAATCTTTTATTCTTGTTGTCCATGTTAATTAACATTAACACACCATGATTAACTATGACGAAGGGCTAACACTCGAAACGTTGGCTTTTGAGGAATCTTTTTACGGTGTTAAAATGTGGTCATCAACTCATCTTATAGAACCAAATCTTTTTGATAAAAGTAAAGATATGGGTCACCACACATGTTTTGGTGCTACTGATGTTGAGTTCCCCCTGAAAAAGTTCCAGTTGGTACACGAGCGATTTTAAGGGTTACAGTTAGTGTCAAACATCGTACCTTTAACAAATACTGCCAAGTCTAGTTCACGGTATCCACCGATGGTTGTCCCCTGACCAGCGGCACCAACCACAGAAATACGACTGACAGTAAATGGAAGCTGCTCCTGAGGTTTGGGAAAAAAGGTATACTGTACTATCAGTCCTAAGAGTGCTAAAATAATGTAGTTCTACAAACAAAAAGTCATTATGGAAATCCCCCATACAGTACTGATACGTTGCAGAAGTACTACAAAAGATGCTTCATTTGAAAAGATACATAAAAGGTTTCCTTCCAGAGACTCCATCTCACTGATTCTAGACGTGAAATTGCTAGTAAAGTGTTGTTGTAGTCGTTAAGTCACTGGAAAAACGTGACATTATGTTGAAAATCAGTCAGGAAAGCCCAGAGGACGTGGTTCGTTTCCAAGCTTGTTGGACTTAATCATCTCTCTAGTAGCTTGTCGCCCAATTTCTATGAAAATGAAAATGCCCTCTCACCATCAAAAAGGATCTTAATTTTTCTGCAACTTCCTGTTGCTTCTCAAGTTGCTCTTGGTCCGGCTGAGCTTCTTCGATGAGGTCCTTTATACTGCTCACTTTTTTTCCATCAATCTTGAGGAAAAAAAATAAGCACAAACGTTTATTATTGCAATGACGTCAACTAGTCGGTGGGAAAGTTGAAAGTTGGGGATGGGGTTTATCCACGAGTGCGGCTTGAGTGAACTTGAGTATGAATGCTTGACTAAGTACGGGTATTTATCTTTGCTTATCATCGGTTAATCGAGTTACAGATTACAGGACTCAAAGCTGGCTGAAGTGAAAGGATCGAGTTCAGACGAAATAGGAATACTTTTTGGAAGAAAATGTTCTGTTCACAGTTTCTAAGTTACGAGATGTGTAGCTCTCTGTTGTTACTGAAGTTCGTCGTATACTGTGAGTGGCGAAGTACATAAAGCGAACAAAGAGATCACACCATGTGTCAAGTAACTCAACGGGGGAGTGACTAATCCTTAGATTCTGATTATAGGGCTTTGGCGGGAAAAAATTTTGTGTTTTGGATAGGCGGTCGACTACGAGAGGAGATCGCACATGGTTGTTCGACTTTACTCATATTTGTAACAGGGCTTGAGCACATATACAACTGAATTATATAGAGAAATATGGAAAATTAAGTAAGTAACCTCGTCAACAGTACTCTCGATCTCCGCAAGGCACTCTTTGCTCTCACTAATCTCCTTCTCTAGTTCTTGGATAAGAGCTTCTTTCTCTTCAAGCTCCCCCTGTTTTGCTGCGATCTCTTCCTCCTTGTCAGCCAATAACCGATCTTTCTCGGAAGCTACAACATCTAGTTGATCTTTCCTGTAAAATAAGGCATACTGCAACACCTGTGCTTTATCCCCAATATTCACCTACAAATTCTCCAAACGGATCTCCATACATAGCTTAAAAGAATCAGTTAAGAGAATTCAATTAAAGATCAATGGATTTCTTTTTTGGGGATCATTTTATCAATTCTTACAACCTTTTCTCTTGAATATATGTTTTTAGTAAAATCCAACTAGTGGTCTATTATCAATGCTGCGTTCTGATTGGTTGAGCTACTACTAGGCTATATGTTATAGCCCACTAGTAGCGAAAAGCGCCGGCTTTTTGGCGGCAAAAAAGGATTAAAGTCTAGCTTTAACTAGCTAAAATTTTTTCTATTCTCGATATTTTTGACCAACGTGTTGGATTTTACTAAAACAATTATTCCTCTCGCCCTTATGGCCTCTGCGTCAATAGCCCATTTGGCCTTCGGCCTCATGGGCTATTGACTCAGAGCCCATTCGGGCTCGAGGAATAATTGTTAAATATTGTGAGAGAAAATTAATTTTGGTCACCCGTGGGTATCAAGAAAACTTTCGATTGTAACATCTTTCTCGTTTATTTACCTAGCCTCGACATTTACCTTCTGTCATAATTTATCACCATGCATACAGGTTCTTTTATGGGGTATAGAAGGAAAGCTAGAAAGTGCGAGCAGGCGGGCAGGGAGATGGAGACGCATTGGGGGCTAATTTCCGTTAAAAAAGCAGATTTGTTATATGTCCCTTTCTTATGCAGCCTTCATTTTGTGGACTTGATTCCAATACCTTTAGGAACTCTTCTGTGGGGAATTTTCTCGCGCCGAGCAGTCATTTGTTGTCATTAGGGACCTTAAGTTACACCGTTGCGTTCATTAATTTTAAACTGAGCCATAATTGTCCACCTGTCGTAATGACATCATTGCCCTACCCGGTCGCCTATCCGTTTCTCCGGGATAACAGATAGTGTTACCTTGTCTCCATTTTATTTCTCGAGGGTAGTTGCTTGTTACACTCAATTGATTGCTGTTTGAATAAGTGTACTGATACAAGTGTAAGTCTTACCAGAAATTTTCCAGTGTCGCTTTGTTCATTGCGTTCACTTCTCTCAGTTTCGCAATGCTGTGCTTGTCGGAGTTCACCAGAAGAGGATCATAAACTTCATTGATATTTTTGATGACTAACCGAACACACACATGCTTCTCGTCGTCTAAGTAAGGGCTGTAAGGATTCAGCACCTAAAAATACAAGAGAGGTACATCCGCATGTGAAGCGGTAGCTGTATTTTTGCACTGATTTTTCAGTGTCAACAATGATCAATATTGGTCTGTCTATCGCAGGTCTAGAACAAAGACAACCATGAAAATATTTTCGAAACTTAAAGTGACAACCACTCCACAGGCATTTTCAAATTTCCAACCAACAACAAAATAGGGTCTGCCGGATTATGCTCGAAAAATAGAGTATTATGCTTTCGGGCGTCACCCGTGAAACTAGGGTATTATGCTCAAAATTATGCTCGACTGGAGGTATTATGCTCAAATTATGGCCTGTATCTGTTAATAAACATTCCTAGTCTTTCATTTTTGAAAGAATTGTTAGACAATAATTATTCAGTTAAACATTTGATGAGCAAGCGAAAGGTCGGAAATTGTGAGGCATTGAAAGGCTTACTATATGTCTTTCTCCAATGAACGTGGATTATAGCAAAATGCACTGGGTACGAGTCTAACGTATCAAGTTAAAATATTCCCACTTTTATCAACTTTGTACATTCTAGAGCGTCGCTAAGAGCGAGTTGCTTGCAAAATTTGCATACACCTCTCACAGTTTTCAGAAACAGAGGCATTATGCTCCAAAAATATTAGTATTATGCCAGCATTATGCCTGATGCTCCAGATATAGTATTATGCTCAAAATTATGCCGGCATAATCCGGCAGACCCTACAACAAAATTACCAAAATGATTAAAAAATTCTGTAAAATTACCTTTTATACGGAGACATCAAGACCTTGCGGAAGAGATTTTGTTTGAGAATTGAGCTCATAAATTCACTGACCCCTCCTTAGGAGCATTTTAAATGCGTCATTTTTGACGACTTGCTAACACCGTGCCCACTTGAAAAATGTGCCGGAATAAATTGTTCATCAGGGACACTTTACCGATCTCGGCCGAAATGAAGTTAACGTTGGTGTTGTTAACAGTGGGGCCTGGGTAATAATAATATAATCGGCTGCGAGCTGTAGTGGACTAGTGTTTTCGTTCGTAGGGTTTTGTCAATTTGAGTGGAGGTGAATGCTTTTGCCCTTGATCGGCCATTTCTGATTCCTTCATTAAATAATAATAATAATAGAAATAGAAATAATAATATTAATATCAATTAATGATGATAGTGATAGTGATATACCTCATTTAACTCCAGAGTTGTGTTTATGATCATTTCGTCTTGACTATGACAGAATGCGCTTCTACCAGCAACATCCCACGAGTTCACGGTCACACTTGTATTATCGTCCTTGAGACAGATCACTCGGATGCTCCAAAGGATCTTCATGTAATAAGCACTCTCGTCCAATTCCGAGTGAAGAAACTTTGGTCCGGGATCAAACTTCAGGCTAAAATCCAGCGTCTTCTGATCCAGGGACCTCATTTTCAATGCCAAGTCTACACCCTCAATGACACACTCAATCCCTTGATGATCTTGAGGATTCCACCTGGCTGTGTCAAAACCTAGGTAATAGTAAGGCTCAATGCTGGTGATTTTTACTCCAATGGAGACCATCCCTCCCTTGGAGATTGCCTTGAGATCCTTGGAGCGCATAAACTTCTCAATACCAAAAGCTGTACTGGCATTGCTATCGGAGAAGTTATGGGTTACTTGTACCTCACGCCCGTCTCGGATGTAAATTGAGTACGTAGCTTTAAACCTTAACATCGACGGTTCTTCTCTGTGTAAATACGCCGCGGCATGTTCAGAATGTTGGCCAGAATTTTTGTTCGGTTCCCCTTTTGGGTAAAGTACCAGATACCATTCCTCGCCAAACAGGGAAAACTTTGAGCTGGTGACGTGGCTTGTGCGGGATGACAAATTGATGACTAACTTATCCTCAAATACGGTCTGTACCATTGAACACTTCATCTCCACAAACAAGTTGTTATGATCCAAAAAGCCCGAGTTGGGCTTCTCAATTACATCCACTGGCGCTAGCTTGCTCCATCCTGTTCCAAATAAAACTTTAGGAAATTCGTCGTCCTCGTTCATGTTGCCAGCTCTTACAGACTTCGAAGGGTCGTTGTTGTTGATAATTTGCACGGAAAATCGTATCTTGCACTTAAGTTTCTCAGTGAACTGCCCTCCACCGAGCCATCTCAAAAAAACATTAAACTGTCCCCCCTTTATTCCGCCTTGAAAACGCCAGCGATAACCAGCGAAAGCGAACGGCTTTGAATACACACATTCGCCGATATTGGAAAAGTCTTCAAAGATGAAATTGAAACAGCAAGTGTTATCCTCGAGTATTCTGGTGTTGTGAAGTCGCAAGGCCATTCTAGTTCTTAAAAAATAGCTTGTTCAAGCTTCACGTACGCCTGCAAACCCACTAGACGTTCAATGTAAACTCTCCTGAAGCGAAACGGCCAAAGTACTCACTGCATTTTGCAGCTCACCCTTCAGCTGCAAGAACAAAATACATATACTCGGGTGTTTTTTCAATCAACTTTCGAATTATCAGCTCAAAAAAGAACCCTATACAACACGTTGGAGAGTTGTCATCATCTGCTTCTGCTGTGGGATCCATTTAATAATGAACTCAGCTTTTTAGAAGCCACAAATAGACGCTATACACTTTGCACCTTTTAAAAAATTAATAAAATATGCGAATTTTAAGCAATTGCCCGTATCACAATTGTCGTAAGGTTTTTGAACTTAGTATCATGTTCGAGTGATCTACAGTTAACTGTCTTAAATGCTTTTTTTTGGTATGATTTTTGTTAGACACCCCTGAAAGGCAAGTCTCTCAGTCTCCTGCACTGTATTGTAAAAAAAGAAAAAGTTTATACAATGGTTACTTAATTTTTTTTCAGTTTTTGGAAGAGATCCAAAGTACCTGCTGCTAATAAAAAATGCAAAGAAATTACTTATTTTCTCCATAAAAACTGAATAACTGGTATCAGAAACTATTTTGTAATTCATGGCCAACCACCATGATTTCTGGTACTTAAAGTTTAGATTAAAAAAAAACATACCGTTTTTTTCTGATAATCTAAGCTATGTGAGCTTGCTAGTTCACGCTCTCCGTCGCGTGTGTTGTATCTATGTTTGTCAGGTATTAGTGAAGCCGGTAAGCCAAGAAAATTGTAAACTTTCGTAGGTTTGTATATTGCGTTCATCTGGCTGTTTTGCCAGCACGCGGGCAAATTTTTTGTTGAACAATATTAACACGGTTGCGAACAATGAAGAACGAAGCTCTGTCTCGTAGACGCAGTTTCACCCGAGATTTTTTGTACCCTTTTTATAGAAATATTTCCTTGGGAATACCGTGTGGCACGAAATTTTTGCGGGTTCTAATTTTTGCGGTCTTTCCAGCAATCCGCAAAAACAAGTTCCCGCATATAAAAATTACCGCAGACATTTTTCCCGCAAAAATTTACTCCAGAGTAAATATTCTCTAACTTAAATTCGCTACACAAAAATACAGTACCAAGAAATCGTGTCTGTTCAATCACAACTTGTCCCTTTCATTCAGAAACGACAAAATACTGGTTTATTGCTTGATGTATTTCTATGGCACGTACTCAATAAAAACGAAAATATTATCAATGCTGGGTACTGGGTACTTTCTGAAAATCGCAAAAATTAATTCCCAGCTAGAAAAACTAAGCTGTCCTAATCGCAAAAATTAGTTCCCGCGATACACAAAAAATCGCCAATCTGCAAAAATATACTCCCGCAAAAATTTCGTGAGTAGTTGACGATGGTCTTTTTTACATTAAGGAGACTTCTTCTCCCTCGAACATCTTTTGGTTAACATGTGGGGAGAGGAGGGGGGAGGCGGCACACATCTTTAATTTCATTGTTGCGTTTTACCTAGTAGATCGCAGTTCTGCCCAAATTAGGGTGAGATTGTATGGGACAACACGTATCCCTGCAGATTTTGCAGAGGCGAATGACATCATCACCAACTTGTCAACGAAGAGAGAGCAGAATACATTTGATACAGGCATGCGTGGCAAGTCATAGCAAACTCTGCTGTTCAAGATATCGCTAAGACCCCTCTAAATGTAAAGTAAATGTTTACCTCTACCTCGAAATAAATTTTAAATGAACTACTTGATCACGCAAGAGGGCTGGCTGATAATTTTCTACGCCTATATGCCCTGGGTGCAACGCAGGCTATTTTGTAATCTACCTTCAACAACACCTCTATCCTCTTCTTTATATATTTAAGTTTTCTGCTATGCCGCACCGCAATTCGGCGAAGAATTTATGCTTCATCCTTGTTAGAGTCTTCAGGGCCTGTTCCGGCCGATGAGATCATGGGGAGTGGCTTGAATAGGAATCCGGATCGGCGATGGTAACTTCGCCCCTCTCCTTTTCAACTCCCCATATTCTATACCTCTCTCCTCTTTGCGACGTCCTTATTATCGGGACGCGTAGGTAGCCCAAGCTCACTAGCGCGAATCGTTGTTGTGTAATGTATAGATTGTATGGGTTTGTGTAGGAATTATAGACGGTGATCGCGATTAGGAGTCAAAAAGAGCAATAAAAGTACCGGAGAATTTCCACCATACCTTCGTGCTTCATTTGTTGCGTTTTCTTGGCATTTTTGGCCATTTCAGAGCAATTCCCGCCTCTACTTTCTTTACTAAGTCTAGTTGTCCTTTTCGTGAGCTTGGGCTACCTGTCCTTTCCTAGAATGAAGAGAGAAAAACGATATTAAGGAAGGCGCGAAGAGAAGTGAGGAGGTAAGAACAGCGTACACGTCAAGCAAAAAAAAATTAGAATGGAGAAGGGCACATTATTGTAAAACTAATTATGGCCCTTTAACAAGATTGACTTTATTCTATTATAGCTTTTTTATTCATTTAAACTAACCAGCTTCAAAAGACGCGGCCATAATCATCATCGCTGACTGCTGACCGCTTTTCCACTATCTGAACTCCATGAGTTAAACCTCTCTTATTTGGCTGAAATAGTGAGACCAAGTCATGCACTTATTTGGTCCTTTAATGAAACTTTTCAGTACACGATCAACTCATTTGTTGCCGGCCGGTGAATCAGTTGCGTTGTTTCAACAATCTTCTACAGTTTTTAAACGACCTAAACTAAACTACTACTACCTAACTAACAATAATAATCATCAGTTCTTTGTTCTTCGACATTTTTGTTCTCAAGTTCATTTTTTGCGGTATTAAGGTCTCGGTAAAGGAAAACGAGGTGCCCACAGAAAAAAATTCTAGTCGCTTGAGTATTTTCGCTACAAAGGCAAGTTATATATCAAATTAAAGCTAAAAGACTAAATTACCTTATAAAAGATTTTATTTCATCGAATTTCAAAAGGCGCTTAAGTTTTTTGCTCCCGAACTCAGAGGTATCGAGTTTACTGCTGAAGCTCCAGCCCTTTCGCGTTGTTAAATATTCACTTCCTTTTTATTGCATCTGATTGACAGATAAAAGACCTAAAAAAGGGTGTGAGGAAATTTGCATATGTCTCGTATTAGCGGAATTATTGCATTTCAAACTAAAAAGTCGAATCTCGAGCGCGATTTACGCAAAGAAACTGACATAGAAAAAGTTACAAAGGGAAATCGGAAAATTCCTCACACAGTTTTTGAGTCTATATCATTATCCATCATATCTGAAAGTTTCAAAGCGATAGCTTTTAACCTGTCCCGACTGGAGGTCGGAGAATTTTGATTTTTGCGTCTAAAATAGAGTGAGAGAAAATCAGCTTTAAAGATTTAGCGCGAGGTCCACGCTTGGCTGGTTAGCTCAGAAAGGGCTCATTTTAGAAGGGTTAAAAAGCACTTTCTGTTTTTCTTTTTCTGCCAAAATAAAATTTAGGACCCATTGATGCCAAAAATCCAAAAAAAACAAAATCGAGCAATGTACTAAAATTTTCATTTACCGAGACCTTAAATGATACTGATTTCAAGGTCATCATTAAGCGGCGAACCTTAGGTTTTTAAACTAGTAGCCAATAATTTGCGTCTAGACTTCGAGGTCTTTTGCGATATCTTGTCTAGTTGGCGATCGGAAAAGCGTTAGAGATAATTTAAAAGTCTATAAAACCATCAGTTTTGAAGAGGTGTCGGTTTTGCGGGCCCATAATGCCAGCCTCGATGGCCCCTCCCTAGGGAAATGATAGCACGTGATCACTCGGAGCGAGTGCAAACCTTCGCAGGGTCTAGTTTTGTGCGGTACCATGGATTCTTTGATAGAAATCCTTCGAAAGTTGGCAGTATTCGAAAATCTGTGGATTACTTTCTTAATTGGTGCTTTTATTCTGCTAGCTTGGTAAGTTGAAAACATTGAGTAATCTTGCAATTTCGCTAGGAGCAAATATCGCCTCCTTGTTTACTTTTCGAATTTTCACGTTGCTAGCCAGGTCTTGGATCTTCACGGTATATTGATTTTGTTTTGAGAATGGAATCCCGAATGTTTTCTTCATCTGTCTTTCAAACAGCTGATTATATTTTAAAATCCACTGATTCTTTTTCGTGACGTAAGCCAGCGGAGGTCTCTTTTGCGTACCGAGGTCAAGCTTGCCTGTCTCGGAAAACGAAGACCTGAGACCAAATACCTCAAAAACTATAAAAGATTCAAAGATCATGAAGGGCCGCGCCCGTCATGTTTGGAGTTTTCTATGCTCGACGTAGCTTTCGTTCGGCTTTCTTCGATTCTCTGTGTCACAGAGAACGGTTTTCTTTCGAAACGGAACAAGCGTGACAGCATGAAGCAAAACCTGAAATATATTGTGGGGGTGGGGCATAGGGGCCTTGGTGCCCATACTTTTTGTCCTTAGAAAATTAGCTAAAAACTGTTTTGGAAAAATATGGCAAAAGTCTTGAATTTTGCATCCAAACATTTGTATGAACCCTCTCTGTGCAAGAGACACAGCTGAGGTAATTTAGGCTTTACAAAGCCTACTTCATAAAGTTTGCAAACTGCCTTAAAATTGCACCTGAAAACTAAAATCTCAAAAAATCGCAATTTATTTATGTAAGTGCAAACAGGCCTGTACAAACCGAAGCAAATAAAATTCATTCTTTCTTTGTTTGTTCATTGATATCCATGAAAAATTGCCTGAACAATCAAGTTTACCATGAGTACAGTCTCTCTAAGGCAGACACCTTTGGGACCAGCGCTAAGCATCCATCTTTGAGAAATGTCTATCTTCTAGCTCAGATAGTCAAATTGTAGATCTGGGCCGAGTTTTTCAAAGCTGGGTTAAGATAACCCAGGGTTAGTGTGAGATTTGAATTCAGATTTGAAAGCTTAAGAAGCGTTTCAGTTTGAATTCTTTTTATCTACAAGTTGACGATTGGAAGCTCTAAAAGTAGCAGAGAAAATTATCCAAGAAAATGCTTTTGAACATAAGAAAAAGAAACCTGCATTAAATTTAACCCCGGGTTAAGCGCTAATTGGCCTTCGAACGACTGGTCCCTGCCTGTTAAGACTGTATTCAATCCAACCTGCTTTCCTCTGACCATTGCAAAGAACATCAACTGATCTGAACAAGGAGTTGGGCTTTTTCAACCTCCCATCATTCAAGAGAAAAGAACAATGCATACGTCAAACAGTTTGTTGAATTAAAGTGGAAAATACACTGCATTCAGTTTTTCGGTGATGCATTGTAACATTTTATGACAGTTCTAGATTTCTTTTTTGTGGGTATAGAGACCTATTCAGACACCCTTCTCCCTTTAGTGTGCAATTGAAAGTGGATGCCTCTGCATATAAAAGACAGCTGTGCCAACGTCCTTGCATTTTTTTTATACAAGGAATAAAACAATGTTTCTGATTCTCTTCTTTTTAAGTGTCTCAATTTTAAGATCACTCAGTGGCTTATCTACCAAAGGAATTTTTATGATCCATCCTTTAGCAGGCAACACGATTCCAAACTTTTTTTTACCCCACCCTACTCATTCATTTTTTAGCCTCCCTTAGGCCTGCTGATAATGAGCACTCTGATACTGACACCATTTGAATTATTTAACCTGTGATAATAGCAAAGAAGCAGACTTTTCTTGTGGATTGATAAGGAAGTGTTAGAACACTAATTGTGATTAAGGTGCTACAGTTTCAGCAAAGATAATTGGGACACTTCCACCCAACACTGTTTTTTCACTTCTGGCCGGTCTCCTCGTCCTCCCAATGTTGTTTATCACAGTTAACTCACCAATTCTTGCACACCAGCATTGGGAGGTTAAGAAGACAGCAAAGTGTCCCAACAATTTTGACTGAGACTGCAGCTTCACTGACTAAGTGGTTAATGGAGTTGTGCTTATCTTGTGCTCCAACATTGGGAGGGCCAGAAGACAGCAAAGTGTCCCAACAATTTTGACTGAGACTGTAGGTTGATTCTGAAATGGTGGTTCATTAGCTGGGACCCCTCACTCAAACCAAGTTTAATAGTGCTCAGTAATATTATTAAGTTCACCTTAAGTTCAAGTTTGATTGTCTTTAACTGCTTAACTTAGTCAAAATTAGTAATCAAGTTTTAAGTAAAGTTTGACTTGACTTACTTGAATGACTTAGTCGTCTTGTCCTGCCAGGAGGTGTAGGTCATCAACGACAACACAAATACCATTGCAATTCTGGGCGGTGGGTTTGATACGCATCAGTTTATCCTTGGCAGTTCTTCATCTCCAGCTCTGTGTGGGTCTTCTTTTTCTTTGCCATATTCCCTATAGGTTCCAGGTGAAAGCCTGCCGTGCCTTCCGTGTGATATTCTGTGGGTCCTTGCTTGATATTTTGTACAGTCCAGCTCCACTTTCTGGGGAAAGTGAAGTTTGATTGGGTTCTAATGATTTTTGTTTTTTGTTTGGTTTTGTCTGTGTGATGAAGCCAGACACATACATACTGTAAGAAGCTTGTTATCTGTCTTTAATTTCTGAGATCCTTATGAAATGTTTCCGACCACAACAGCTTTTTACAAACAGACTCTGAACTGAGGGAATTAAATTTAGTAAAATTAATAATTATGCAGGGAAACATCACCACCCTATCCCCGTACTCATGTTATTTACCTTTGAATATTATTAAGGGTTAAATATGAGATAAATCAAAATATTAATGCATGAAAAGTATAGCATTGCCTTTTGAAGACATTGAATTCTGAGTATTATTTTGTTCATGATGATTAATTGGTTTTATCCCTACATTTGTTCACTGTAGGTATGCAGTGGCCCCTTTTTCCTTCTTCAAGAAACTTGGGATTCCAGGTCCTGCTCCTTGGCCATTTTTGGGAAATGTTCCTGAAATGAGCAAAAAGGTAAGAATTCACATGAAGTGTCATAAAATAATTTGAGGATGAGAGGCCAACATATTATATTATATGTCTTCTTTTCATTGTCGCATGTATAATATATTGAATGCATTTGCAGAATTAGTTTAGATGTCAGCTAGAAGCTTTAGGCCTCACTGACTTCCATGGAGTCTGTTTACTCCCGAACTTACTAAAATGTTTGCGCCCTTCTTAAAAATTTTGTTTGGTTGCATTTGCATTTTTGAATTGCTCAAGTGACCATTCAGAGCATCCTGTTTGGTTATGTGAATTTCTCAAAAAGAAACTTAGCTGATTTACAGTTCAGGTGACCATGAATGCTTACCCTGTTTGTCACTGGGATATCCAGTTGCTGACAGTTCCACGTTTTTTTTTAACTTTTGGTTAAGAGCAGTAAGCAAATTTCCATCAACATGGAAGGATGGTCTTAGTATAAAGGAACTTACCAAGTTTATAGGTGATGGGTCCAAAAAGTTGCAGAATTTTACAGAGGTTTGTGTGGGGGAGGGCATGAGCTTACCCACCACCATACAAAAATCTGTAAAATTCCTTGACTTTGCTTAGCTATATCTTGTTAGTTTTCGACGATCACTTTCAAACTTTTTAATGACTTTAATGGTTTTATGGGGTTCTTTCCGTCCATTTTAACAGATTTTTGCCAACCAGTTCCAGTCAAAAGTTAAAAAAACCGTGGAAGGGCCGACTATTCATAGGAAGGAAATTGAACGCTCGGCTAGGAAGTGTTTCTTACCTTAAGTAATAATATTGTTGTTTGCAGAGAGGACAGCTATTTTTGTTTGACAAAGAGGTTGCTGAAAAATATGGAAGAGTATGTGGGTAAGGAAAATATGAGTAGATTATGAGTCATGGGAAGTACCGGTATTTGTGGTCAAGGCTTCAATCCACCATTATTCCCCGGTCCGTTTGTAGAGATGTGAGTGGGGCTATTCACTTCAGCATTTACCTTTTACAGTGTAGCATCATCCTTTCGTGGGCCAATGATGCAACTGGTGTAGCATAAAGTCTGAACATTCTGGGATCTTTGACTTTCATGAAACATTATTTCTAAAAATTATCGGTCAATATTATAATAATGGGTACATGTATTTAATTCGTACATTGTAAACTCATCTTGTCAATTCGCATTTCAGGATAAGTATAAAGCTGTTTAAGGTGGCTCCACTGGATTGTTTAGGGGGGATACCTCCCAAGTTTGAGGATTGACTACGTCGGCATGAGTAAAGATATGGGAAAAAGGTTACCACATCTAGTGTATTATATAAAGATGAATAATTCATGTGATCTGGGTTTTATTGCAATGGGAGTCACCATGGCAATGTAATGACGCCATTTTGTTTTTTATTCATCTTTGTGTTTCTCTGTACCAGGAGTTTTTTTTAAAAAGAAATTGCTTAAGGGGCTATGTGCCTGCAATAATTGCCTCAATTATGGCAAAGTTTGAACAAATTCTATGCGACTGTTTTCGAAATATTTTGAAACAAAAGTTTTAAGAATCATAAAAACAGTGAAATAGCATGCTATCCAAACTATTAGCCAATATTTCAAGAAAATTATAAGCTTTGGAAACATGGCTTCATCTCATAGTGGTTTGATTCCATTGAAAACTGTGTACCAAAAAAGAGTGGAGTTGCTCTGAGCGATTGCGAGTAAGAAAAATTTTAGTAACTTGCATTCAACTGCTTTTGTTACAGTTTTTGCATATAATTTGGTCCATGCCTACAAATTTCACATTTTTCAATATCTTTACTCATGCTGACGTAGTTAATGCTCAAACTTGGGAGGTTACCCCCCTAAAAAATCCAGACGAGCCACCTTAAATCCCCTTGCATGCATCAACATCTTCAGTTATTATTGTTATTGTTGTTGTTGTTGTTGTCAGTGTCATTGTTATTAAACCATAAACAGCCTACCATAATAATTATTATTGTACTCCTATTCCAGCACAGTGTTTTATTTGTTTTTCACTTTTATGCTAAATATTGAGGATGGTGGTGATTTTATCTTTATATTTACATATCTACAGAGTTTATATGGGACGTAACCCTTCGTACCTTGTAACTGATCTGGATCTCATTAAACAGATTCTGGTCAAAGAATTCAGCAAATTCACCAACAGACCATTGGCAGTAAGTGGGTTTTACTTTCCTCTTAGCTAGTGAATCAACAGTTTGTACGGGATGCATGTTTGAGAAGGATATAGAAGATACCAGGAGATATTAGGTGCTGACTGTGTTCATCCTTTACCCTTTAATCCACTGAAGCCTCTTTACTATGTTTCTTTTTAATTTTAGAGCCTTGTATTTCAATATTAGTCTAAACTTTGGTACTGTCTAGAAAGCTACTGACATGTAATGTTAATATTTTTTTCACAAAATTCAGATCAGATACTTTAGGTATAACAGCTAATATTTTGAAAGCCAAAGTGTATATTGAAATTATATTTCCATGTATAAATATAGTTATCATAGGTAATTAAGGATTTAAATAAATTATTAATGCTTACTTTACGGTTTTGAGTTGAGAATTAATTTTAAGTGTCATAATCTGTTTTTGCAATTATTTATTTATTATTTTATATATTTATCTATTGCAGAACGTTGTCAGTTCATCTGTTGTTTTAGCTAAAGGACTTTTGCGCGTGCAGGATGAAGATTGGAAGAGAATCCGTCATACGATAACTCCAACATTCAGTGCACTTAAACTGAAGCAGGTTCGCTTAAGTTGGGATTGCTCCCTAGAATGCCTGGGTGAAAGTTCTAGAATTTGGGAGTCAGTTTTGAGGCATAATTGGGATTTGAAATATATGTACATGTATATGTAATTAAATGGGGCAAAATTTAATTTAGGCAAGGTTAAACATGAGACAATGCTGGCCAGCATTCTCCAACACCAATCATATGTGGGGTGGTCTTGGGGTTAAGGTGGGCCTTAGTGATTTTTCAGCGCTGTCACAGAAGTCAATCATTTTGCTCACGTTGCTTTTGCGTGCAGTAGTTGTAGTTAATTTTTGCCCCCAACCCTCGCTTCTCTCTGAATGCTTTTCTTGGTAAGTACATGGGCCTTTTTCCACTGAGGTTCTCAGTGTGACGGTGCCTGATGGGTGCCGCTCACATGGTTGTCATGGTTACCTTCTAGGCTCACTTGCAGCCCCCTTCTGTTTCACCAGGCACCTTCCCCACACTTATCTATTGTTGATGGGTTTAATAGGCTGAAAAATAGGAGTTGCAGCTGTTGTTCTAGTTAAGCACCCTTTTTAAAATTGTTACACCACAACTTACACTTCATTTGCTTGCTCAGTAGTTAAGAGCTGTGATAAATTAGGATAGTAATAGAAAAAAAATTGTACATGTACACCTCTGAAGGGTCATAGTAATATCCTCCATACTATCTCTTTGGCTATTACTTTTTCTATCAGGTTACACCATTAGTGCACCACTCATGTGAAACCTTATGCAAAAAGCTTGAGCAAATCGCCAAGTTGGGCACCAAAGTTAATTTGTGGAGGTGAGGACAGAATTATTGTGCACTTGATATTGTAGCTCTACTAGCGGTCAGATGTTGGCTGTAGGGTAAACATACGTCATTGTCTTCAAAAAGTAGTCGTGAATTAAGACAGCCATAGGGCATGTAAAGTGCACAAAATTTTACAGATAACTTTTCAGCTTATAAGAGTGATGCTGCTTCCTTGACTCTACCTTTCGCTTTCTCTCCTCCCGACATCCTCTTCCTGCTATGCAAGGCTTGAAAGATCTTGTCCGCCTGCAGAAGACACATATAGAAGTTGTAATAACTGATACAAGGGATCCACAAGGGTAGTTAGAGGCAGTTGACTTGAGACTGTTTTAATCCTAGCCTGATTGTAATCATGCATGGTCTTTATATAGCCAGGGCTGTCAAAAAGGTTTTTAAGTAGCGGGCTGATAATGAATAGTAGGTGACTCTGGAACTCTCACCAAAGGCACAAGTTCTTAAGGGCCGAGGCATCTGCAGACATTTTGAAACCAGTAATGGCGTGTCCAGGGGTTTTTAAGAGGTGTTTCTCACTGCAGACACCATGTTGTTTTGTCAGAATACACCCAAGACTGGGAACAATGCCGTCAAAATGTCCTTGCCATTCCAAGACATCCCACAGTTCGAAAGTTTCACAGGTCTAAACCTGTTAGAATATGCATTCAGTGTCATTGCTCCGGGGAAACAGATGCTTTACAATTTTATTTAAAGGTGCTTAATTATTTTTTGTTAGCAATCATGGTAGAAGAAGATGAAAGTAGCCGGCTAAGGATGGCTAACTAGCCAGTGGTTTTGGCTGGCTTCTGAAATGATAGCAATGAATACCCCCTGCAACTTTAAGGGAAACCGAGTTCAATTTACTGCTTTTCGATCGACTGATGCGACATGATGCGTGATGGCCGTATAAATGTTTGGTGAAATCGACACCATTTCATTGACAGCCCTGTATAGCTGGTAAAATAATATTACACTAGCTGGGCAAAACATCTTGTCTCCATTTGGCTTTAACCGTGATTTTATGTTTTAAACCCTACATACCTGTATATATACTTCAATATCTTCACTTTTCTCAAAAATTAGTTTAGTCGTATTTCCTCTTTTAATATTGCAATGGAACCCTGCCTTATGGCCACCTCGGTAATACGGTCACCTCGTTATGACGGCCACTTTTTTTTGGCTGCTCGGTAAAGGCCATACGTTTTCTTGTAAAAAACCCTCATTAATATGGCCAATTTTTTTTGGCCCATTGGTGACTGTATTAACAGGGTTCCACTGTATAGCGTGATGGACTAAAAAAATAGAAGATCTAAATTTTGATTTCTTCACTTGTCTTTATAAGGGTTTATGGCAAGTTTACCATGGAGGTGATATTGTCAACAGCATTTGGTGTCCAAGCTGATGTACAAACTGATCAAGATGAACCATACACTCCAAATGCAGCACTGCTGTTCAGACAGCCCCCACTTTCGTTTGGTTTGAGTAAGTACACGTAAATTTATTATGGCACTTTATTTTGGGGAGAAAAGTTTTGCACAGTTTTTGGCTGTTGCCTTGATATCATTTTCAAGTGACAAATTAAATTAGATTCAGGTCATGAATTTTAGTCATTTAAGTGTTTAAGAATAAACAAACATACATTATAATTTCAAGTTTTCTTTGTTCCTTCATATAAATTCAGTGTTTTACATTTTTTTATTCCTTTCCCTCCATATTTGCAGTGATATTCCCCTTTTTAAGGCCAGTGTACCAGATTTTTTGCTCACTATTTTCTGGGTTTGGCACAACAGAAGAAGGAAAGGCATCGCAGTTTTTAATCAATACAGCAAAAACGGTGTTGGAGTTGAGGAAGCAAACTGGCAAATCACAGGTAATTGACCTTCAATAATGCTTGTCCTGTTGCAATTCACAGTGCTTTTTCTTCTTGAGGTTGGTGAGGTTGGGGTGGAAATGACTAAGATGGAAAATGAAAAAAGTAAGGAGCCTATCCTTACTACAGGGAACTATACAATACAATACAATACCCTTTATTTAACATGGTCAATGTTCTTACCTAATTAGCTACTTTACAGAGATGCCACGGAAAATAAATAAATAAACTAGAAATAATAATAGAAAGAGAAGATTTCTCATAAAAACCTATATAAATATATATATATATATATATATATATACAGTTAAAAATTATTAAAACTAAGAGTAGATCACAAGATTATGACATAATGATGTTAAAACTAAGCATAATGTATTTACGTGTATTTGCGCGATTAAAATGTAAAACTTGAGAAATCCAACTTAGACATCAAGTTCAGCGGCACGAAACTGATCCAGGGTCCGAAATTGTGCCTTCCTGGTCACCAATGCGACTAAAAATTTAGTCCTGGCGACCAGAATTTCATAGCTGGTTGCCAGCTAGCGACTTGTAAAGCAGGTTGTTACTGTGGACTTTAACGTTCGGAGAAACTGATTAAGAATTGAAACCTCGAAGCTATTTGCCAACAGGAGTCTTACTTTTGTCCTGCTGATATTTTTTAATTAAAAGTGAAACGTATCTTCCTGTAATAATACCTCCACAACAGCTACGATCAATACGAGTTCTGTGTTTCCAAGCCGTCATGTTGTTTTCGGCTAAAATACGGTAAGTACGTTATGTACTTTGCGGACTGGTATGAGTGATGTGGCACAGTTGTGGCCTTGTACGAGCAACATGGCAGCTTGATTTGTGTTTACGTTTCGTGTTTCGTGGTAGTTATCGGAAAAAAAATAGAGTTTTGATATGATCAGTGCAGTCATGGGCAGACAGCTTTCTGTTCCTACGTTCTAAGTCAGACAGCTTTATATCTCCAAAAAGTAATTTGTGGAAAAAAAAAAAAGACTTCACTCGTACACGTACCGTTGTTTTCTGGTATCGGAAGTAGTGCAATTTTCGAGCATAAAAACGTCCATACCATGCATTTTTTATTCGTGTTTAAACTATTATTGAAAAAAAAAGGAGGGGAAATTTTTGGCGACCACAATTTGCACTCTGGCGACCAGAAATTTATACTTGATCGCCAGTTGGCGCCCGTATTAAAAAGTTAATTTCGGACCCTGTGATCCAGAAGAGCGTTCCAAATCTTAGCTGCAGTATAACGCCACGATTTAAGTCCATAGGTGGTTGTATTTACTTTGGGTAGCTCGAGGATGTGTTTTCCTCTAAGATTATGTTAGTTGACCGTTCATGCAATAGCTCTCCTATTCCTCTAGGGACTTTATACCCACGGATAGCTTTGTAAACACCAGTGACCATTTTAACAATTCTTTGATTAAGTGGGAACAGTAGGTTTAGTTGTTTTAGCAACGTCTCGTATGTGGTTGTCTTGTAACGGGTTACAAAGCGAAGGGCTCGTTCATTGATTTTTTCAAGTTTGACGGAACCTCTTTTACCACAGTGATGCCACGACTCTGAGCAGTAATTGAAATGCGGTGCAATGAAAGCGAGATATACATATCTATCCTCAATTCAAAAGGCAATATTTTCTTCAGACCATTGAGAACAGCAACCTGTTGACTAACTTTATGACAGATTTTACGAATCTGTCCCTCAAACTTATAAGCTTGTTATCGAGGGTGATGCCTAGGAGTTCCATTTCGTCTTGAATAGGGATAACGGTTCCTTCACAGGTCAACACAGGATTTCTCTCGACTCTTCCAAAAGTAATATAGGGTATTGCTTGATATTTTGAGTGATTTCTTTTCATTTGATTGAATTCATACCACTCATCAACCTTTTTCAAATCGGCATTTATGGCATGTTCAACCTGGTCGATATCTTCCACAGACTTAAACAATTGAGTGTTATCAGCATACGTGAATGTGCATTCATCTATAGCATAAGAGAGGTCATTCATGAAGATATTAAAGAGAATGGGACCCAAAATTGATCCCCGGGGGGACACCTTCAACATAGTTTTCATAGAAGAGTGTTGTCCACACAATCTGACATGTTGCTGTCTGTCACTTAAATAATTCGTAATGAGATTGATAACTTTTGAGTCTCCACCATAATCTTCAAGCTTTTTGACAATAAGATCATGGGGAAGGGTGTCAAATGCTTTTGACTGGTCCATAGACACCAGACTAATAACTTCGTATTCTTTCTTGAATTGTTCAGTCAGACTAAGCATAGCTGCGTCGCACCCATGATAATCTCTATGTGCAAAGACATTGTTATGATAAACATCTTCAAAGTGTGGAGCAAGTCTTGAGTGAACGAGTTTTTCAAAAACTTTGGATAAGACTGGCAGGATTGTTATAGGGTGATAGTTTGTCTTTGTTAACGTACAGTCTTTCTTGTGGACCGCGACAATTTTACCTAGTTTCCAACTTGGAGGCACTTTTTCCCCTTTCAAATAGAAAATTCACTGTAAAACAGCTGAAAGGCTGACACGGAATTTCAGCAGATTCTTTGACGGCTCGGGTTGGAATTTGATCATGTCCAGTAGCTTTGTTTGTCTTAAGATTCTTCATAATGCCCTTCACTTCAAAGGAACATACATAGATTTCAAGGGTGGATTGCCAGGCTTGAATCTAGGCTTTTGATTTGTTGTTGGAGTGAGGAAGGGGGCTCAACTCATGTTCAAACCAGAAGTATGAGTGGGACTGCTAGAGCACATACTTGCCTTTGCAGGTATCTTTTGGACTTAGTAAAACTGTCTATAATAAAGTGGTGTCTGTATTGTGAAGGTGTCTATTAGGACAGGAAGGAGTACCGCACTGTATGTTCATTAATTTTGCAGAGAAAAGATCTGTTGGAGCTGATGCTCCAAGCAGAAATCACAGACAGTGAAGGTAAACAAGTGAGCAAGCTTAGTGAGGATGAAGTTTTGGCCCAGAGTTATACATTCATTTTGGCAGGATATGAAACAACCAGCAATACTTTGTCATATGTAACATACTGTTTGGCATTGAATCCTGAAGTGCAAGAAAAACTCATTAAAGAAATTGATGATGCTGTTGGTGACAATGTAAGTACAAAGTCAGAAGGCTAGGTGATTTAGTTGATTAAATGATGTCAATGATCATAGATTTGCAAGGATGGTAACCATGAGTTTTTAACAAGTTAAGAAAATTTAAACAGCCCTCAGATTACATTCTGGTTTCCCTAGCTCAAAAGTGGTGCCTGCATGGGTTTATGCCAGCCGGGTGCATAGAAAATTTTTTTAATAGTAAATTGTGTGACATTTCCTGTTGTGCGTTGTAACAAGGC